GGGGGGGGTCATGCTGAACATCCTTCCTGTGGTCGGAAGATCTGTGTCATGCGGAACTGGGAGACTCAGCCTTCTTGTTTTTGTCCTTTGTGTTGCCTTGGCGATATGGATAATGACATTCTTGGACAGTGTCTTTGTCATATTTTGTTTACGTTGGAAGTTCCCCCCCCCGGCATGGTGGTGTGTGCCCTCTGCCTTTTTCTGGATCTGGGATCATGCCACCGTTCTTCCAGGAGCTGTGGAAGATCGCGGGATGGACCTAGCCACCTGCCACAGCCCCCCCTCCGCCCCCCCAAGTGTCCTCTTGCCCTCCGTCTTAAACGACCTGCTAATTTCCAACAGGAGTACGATGGGCTAATAACAATTAGAGTGCGGCACAGCAGCGCGTAAGAAGTGCTGCCAAGCTGGGAACAGACGGGACCTCCGGCGAGTGACTGCCACACGTGTCGTCCTCGTCGCACCGCCCCACCCCGGCTCACCCCACCCCACACGGGACGTGGAGCTTTGGGGTTACAGGGCATCACCACCTGTGGAGGTCCTCCAGGGGGAATATGAACCAAGAGGCAGCAGGGAGATCTCTCTCCCTCTCTCTCCTTCTCTCCTTCTCTCTGTCCTTTCATTGGTGTCACACATGCACACAAAGACATGCCTTCTGGGTGCTTTCACACACACCCCGAAGACCACCAGCTCTGTACCACAGAACCCCCCCCCCCGTACACACATCACACGCACCCAGAACACCCAAGAGCAACGGTCACAGCGATTGACGCAGAGAGTTTTTAACGCCCCTCCACTGCTGCTCTCTGCCCCCCCCTCCATTTAATTTTTTATGGTTCTCATTTAGGTTTTCATCCGCTGGTGGCTCACATATTTGAACACATGGTCTCATTGCGTTCCCCTCACCGCCTCGGTGCACTTGATCCAGTCCCTCCCCCCCCCCCATGAACCAGGCAAAGACTCCGTGAGCATTTGGGGTGACGGATCCACTGCCCTCCGGTGAGACCGGCGTGGCTGTCTCGGCCCCCCAAGCTTATCAGGACCACCCTGGAACGTGCCGCTGACGTTGACAAGTAACCAGTCAGAACCCCCCCCCCCCGCTTTCCATTTTTTATGTTTGAAACCATTTCAAGCTGTTCAAGAAAAAAAAACTGTCAAGTATGTTCTTAAAACATTTAATCTGTGAGCGTGTGAATGTCAGGCGTGGAAATACAGGCGGAGGCGTCGTGTGTGAGCCCCGGGGACCAGCGTGTGTTTATGTGACCTTCGCCATCCTCTTCCTGCGCCTGTAAACGCACAGCGTGAACAAGGCTCCTTTGGAGTACTGCCGAGCTGGTGAATGTGACCTCTGACCTCCAGGAATCGCAGGAGCCGAGCAAGTCGAGGCCATGTTTTGGAATAAAAATGTTTGCCAAGTGAAATATCGTGGAGTAACACGGGGAAGTGCAGCTCCTGAACTCGAGATTCTGTGTCTCATTTTTGCTCAGTTTCTGCAGACGTTTTCAGTGCTCAGTTGATGCTCTTACCCAAAGTGATGTACGATCTTGGGGCCAGAGGGCATGTTCAGCCAACACGCTGTGCTCCCAGTGCTGTGTGGGTTAAGGGCCCCTAGGGTGATGTGATTGCTTTGTTGGCTACAGAATTCAAACCCATGACCTTCTGGATAAGTGGAGAAAGTTATAACGCTCTGAGGCGCCGCCCCACGATGCTCTCAGAAAGGCAGTTATAGGTCAAGCTCAGGGAAAGCCAGGTTCTCTGTAGATCTGTCCAGCCAGGACAACTCCCACCCGCTGATTTCAAGTGAAATGAGAGGAGTGGTCAGGGGATGTAAAGGGTTTGGGAACCACAGGCGGATCTCACTCTGAATTTGCCCCCCCCCCCCCCCCATATCACCCCAACACAATCAGGGACCATGGCCTTCTAGGTCAGGGGCGGGGGGGGTTGAGTATGTTCAGCAGCTGTGTGTCCTGGCAAGTGAGTATCTGTGTTCCCGCCCCCTTCTGGACGCATTCGAAACGGCGCTGTCGCGACCCTCCTCTGATTTACAGTTATTTATGGAAGTGAAGCACACTCGGGCCGGACCCGGTCCAGAGCCGCCGTGCGGGACATTCTGTGGCGCTGGAGCGAAGCATCAGGGGAGATGCAGATGTTGGATCGCGAGCGGCCTGAGCGGGCCAGGCATGAGGTCAGCGCGCAGTCCCGGTCCACTCCGAGCCGGGCCGCAGAAACACGCGCTCTAAAGCCTCCGCTTTATTGTTTCCACAGCGGGTTTCTCATGTTTAGCATGTTTTTGAAGTTCTCCTCCTGTGAGGTTTTTTGTAGCACGTCCTGTTTGCTTTCGGTCAGTCTGAATAAATTCAAAAAAAGAACCTTCGACCTGAAATAACTCATTAATTCCAGTTTGCTGATGGGCAGCCCTTCTGCTTTAGGAACAGTCTGTGACGTTTGGAGCGTCGCCGTCTCCCAAGAGCTCCCACGGTTCTGGATCGTTCAGGTCCAATCCTGCCCCGGGCTGCCTATTTTTTTTTTCCTGTCCCACCAAGGTGGGGGTGTCGTGTAGCTACAGTTCGGCCAAGTGGAATTTAGGTGATGTTTTACGAAGACGTGGCTTTAGTACAGCTTTTGCACCAGCTTTAAACAGAAATGCCCCCCCCCCCTTTGCAAAGCCTCAGTCTGACAGCTATGTCGCTCTGTGTCAGTGCTTCTGTCTATGTGACAGTTTCAGTAGGTAACAGTTAACTCCCCTCCCCTCCCCCCCCCCCAGGTCCAGCTGCTTTATGAGGTCTTCCAGAGCTGGAGCACCGCCTGGGCCCGTGTGCAGAAGCGAGGCACCCAGCGCCCTGCCCCCTGCTTGCCCGAACCCTCCCCAGGCCCTACACCCGGCCCCGGACCCTCCTCGCCTGTCCGGAGCAGCACTGGCACTGCCCTACCGGACACCAGCACCTGCAGCCCGTCCGCAGACTTCGGCTCCCCAACCGAGGTACGGGTTCCCCTGGCTGGGATCCTCATTCTGAGAAGCGGTACCTCACATGCCGCATCATTTCCTTTGCAGGAGGAACCATATTTAAAATACGGGGGGAGAGAATACATGACTGAATGATGCCACCCAAAGAGGACATATTTGATGAGAGCTTGGATCCCCGTTTGACATTTGGTGGTTTAACTGATACTTCCTTCAGGTAGCAGCAGAAGCTGTAGGACACGCTGAGGGATCACCACCCCCCACCCAAGCCTG